CAAATGTCATATATTTTGCCCAAAAAATAACATATTTACTCAGAGTAAACATTATATCTAAAATTTGTATGTCTAATGCAAAATCTATGATGTTTATATTCAAAATGATCATCATATTGTAAGAATTCCAGCAATGTAAATTATATTCTGGCTGGGCAATTTGTATGAATTTTATGAGCTAAAACAGGCAGTCAGGCAGGGTGGCGGGTGGGGGGTGGGGCGAATCTAAAAATAGCTCTCGAGCCGGACACTCACCGCGTATACGTGGAAAAAACCCACGTTAAGTGAAAGTTCAGCTCTGGCGAGGCACCGCGTATACGGTAAAATGCGCTAAGCGAAACCGCGTTAAGCGGGGTAATACTGTACAGTGGTCCCTCAGTTAACGAACGGTTCAGTTAACAAAGTTTCAGTTAACGAATTACCTTCCATAAGAATCTTCAATTCGGTTAATGAACAAAAATTTGATAAACGAAATCCTTACGAAAATCATGTGTTGTGAGCATCAGCTGATGGGCTAGTCTACCAATTCAGTAATCTGTTTTATGTTTACATTCGTTTCCAATGGAGTACCTAAATATCAATAAAGTTGTGCTCTTTAATATTATTGCATGTTTTATATTAAAATTATTAGTACAGTTGTACCCCACTTAACGCGGTCAATTGAACCCAGAGGGTCCCGCGTTAAGTGAAATCCGCGTTAAGTGAACAACAGAACATATGGGATTAATTCCAATAGAAACCGGCCCGACCCCCAAACTCCACTTTTTGAAGGCACATACCTATGTTGTAGTAAAAATAACATCTTAATTTTATGATGGTACATGCACACAATTAATACTTAAGAGAAATAGAGAAATACAGTCGCCAAGTTAATGTCCATTCAAATAATGGACTCAACTCCCTCCCCCTCTCACACTACACAGCCGGCTAACAGATGGTCGGTCGGTCCCTCCCTCCCCCCCCCACCCCCCACCAACCGTCCCAAGGAGATGTGTGGGATAACCTCAAACTAAAGTTAGGAAAATATAATTGACATTGCTGGATTCCTTGTAAGACCAGGAATATTTTGAATATAAATGTCATATATTTTGGACAAAAGATAACATAGTTACCTAGAGAAAAATTTTTATCTAAAAATTGTAAGTTTAAAGCAAAATATATGATGTTTATATTCAAAATGATCACCAAATTATAAGAATTCCAGCAATGTAAATTATATTCTGACCGGGTAATTTGTATGAATTTTATGAGCTAAAACAAATATCTTCAGTTAATAAAAAAAAAATAATCTTCACGACACTATCTGTCAATCAAAGTACCCCACCTTGCCTCCCCCCCTCTTCCAACCGCGCGGTCAGTCCCAACCCTCCCCCCCACCCCCCACCAATCCTCCCTTCCAGAGTTTTTAACATTTAGTATTAAATAATACCTCAGATTAAAGTTAGGATAATATAATTGACATTGCTGGATTCCTTGTAAGACCAGGAATATTTTGAATATAAATGTCATATATTTTGGACAAAAGATACCATAGTTACCTAGAGAAAATTTTTTATCTAAAAATTGTAAGTTTAAAGCAAAATATATGATGTTTATATTCAAAATGATCACCAAATTATAAGAATTCCAGCAATGTAAATTATATTCTGACCGGGTAATTTGTATGAATTTTATGAGCTAAAACAAATATCTTCAGTTAATAAAAAAAAATAATAATTCTTCACACGGGTAACAGATGGTCGGTTGGTCCCTCCCTCCCCCCCACCCCCCACCAACCGTCCCAAGGAGATGTGTGGGATAACCACTAAATTTTAATAAATAATACCTCAAACTAAAGTTAGGATAATATAATTGACATTGCTGGATTCCTTGTAAGACCAGGAATATTTTGAATATAAATGTCATATATTTTGCACAAAAGATACCATAGTTACCTAGAGAAAAATTTTTATCTAAAAATTGTAAGTTTAAAGCAAAATATATGATGTTTATATTCAAAATGATCACCAAATTATAAGGATTCCAGCAATGTAAATTATATTCTGGCCTGGTAATTTGTATGAATTTTATGAGCTAAAACAGGCAGTCAGGCAGGGTGGCGGGTGGGGCAAATCTAAAAATAGCGTCTCGGACACTCACCGCGTATATGTGGAAAAAATCCGCGTTAAGTGAAAGTTCAGCTTTGGCAAGGCACCGCGTATATGCGAAAACGCGTCAAGTGAAACCGCGTTAGGCGGGGTAAAACTGTAATTTTAACATTTATTTAACATATTGATAATATATGCAGTGCAGGGAACTAGTTTTTTGTGCACCCATCAGATGCGTGAGTCGGTCACAAGGCGTCAGTTGGGCTTTGAAAACAGTGGAGAGAACATCTATTTTGTTGGTGTCTTGAATATTTTTGCATTTTTCATTGAAATTATTGGTCATTCTGAACTTTAATTAACATATTAATAATATATAGCGCAGTGCAGTGTTGATGTAAAGAAAATAATCTTGAATTACACCAAGTGAACTTAAAATTTTGTTTGTGAAATTACTGCATCAAGCATGGGTCCCCTGAAAGGTGATTTATCCTCCATTCCCACTTCCTTCTCTTCTCCCTTCTCCTCCACACCCACTTCTAATTCTCATCATCATCATCAACCAGGAACCTTCTACATACACACCTCAAAGTAAGTGTACTTTACTGCATTTTTTTTTTTACTTTGTATATTTTTCGGTGAGCTGGAACCAATTACCCAATATCCCATTGAGACAATGGATTCGGTTAACAAAATTTTCGGTTGACGAACGACCTTCTGGAACGAATTGTGTTCATTAACCGAGGGACCACTGTATATATTATTTTAAGAAAGCTGTGGCTACAGGAGAAAAATCTACACAAAAGTTTTTCCCAATACTTCATGGAAGCTAGCGTCATGAGCCGTGCTGCCATCTTTTGCCAGTCACTGCTACTGCTGGCTCTCGCAGACCTGCTGCTGTCCCATGATAATTTCGTGATAACCCAGATCAATCAGTGGTAAGTGAACACATGGTTGCAATTGAGGATAAGCCAGATCACTGATTATCGGGTCCCATGATTATCGAGAATGCATGAGTACGGGGGTCTCCGACTTACAAACATCCAACTTAGGAACGCCCGCCAATATGAACGGGGTTAAACTTGAAATTGACAGTATTTTATTTACCTGATGACTTTTTTCTTTCATTTACTGTATTTTGTCATTCTATTTCTTCTTTTGTCTTAAATTAAGTGATTTTAGATGTATACAGAGTATAAGGATTTAGACTATTATATAGTGGGATTTTAAACATTGTTCTGTAAGTACAGTATGGTATGCACGTAGCATGTGTTCCGACTTACTTACAGATCAGACTTAAGAACATCCTCAGGAACGGAACCTTTTTTTAACACAGGTACCCCCTGTCCAATACATATCGGCATTTAGTTATTATTTATACGAAAATGTAATTTTATTTTATTTTATTCTATTTTCATCCGAAATACAAATAAAATTATGGTGTAAATTGAATTGGCTCCTAAATTAACCAGGGTTTTGAATATGAATCGTCGTTAGTAGAACCTGTCGTTGTTGGATGCTTTCCTGTACTGTACTTTACTGTACCAGGAGACAATCAGCTAAGAGTACAGTGTTAAGAGTTAAGGCATAAAAGGTGATTACAGTGACAAGTTCAGTAAGTGTGAATGTACCATGTACAGGAAAAGGGAAGCACTGAAGCACTTTAGTTTTCATCTTTATTCAAGACATCTTCAGGTCAGGTCAGTAACATGAGACCCACTAATCCCCCACCCCCTCCCCCCTCCATTGCAAGTGTTAAGATATTAGACATTTTTATAGTTATGCATACTGTACACAGCAGAGTGGACAGTGTATGCCTACTGTAAGCTCAAGACAACAACATCTGCTGGTGAGTACAGTGGGGTCTCATTTTGTGTGGGTATATCATACCGGTACGCGTCTGCGCATCAGAAATGCGCGCACATGATGCCCTTTAACACATGTTAAAATTGCTATATTGTACTGAACTCACCAGACCTTTACTCTTGAATGACTTTGGGTAACCAACTTACCTTCCAAAAATTACACAAATGTTGCACAGACTGCATCTACATATTAAATAAATACAGTCATGTTGCATCTTACATGCATTTCATTTGCATGCATTCAGCTGTACACGCTTGGCTTTGAAAAAAAAAAAAACCTACTCAGTGAGAGCAGCAGCATATGGCTGGGGGAGATACTTCCACCCGCACCTCTTTCAGCCTCAGTTGACACGTGCATTATTTTTCCTAAATATTTTCTGCTGAAATCAATGTGAAATCAGTGGCAAAGAGGATAAAGTAAACTTACAGCAGAGGTGGTTGTGTGGTGCACATTTAAACTGAAATAGACCAAACCAGCGGAGTCGCCAGATATGCTATTGACAAACTGCCCACTGCTTCCACACTTACGATCACCTCCCACACAATACACACCTGTGCTCTTCATATTTTTTAATTTATAGTTTTATTTTATATTTTATTTATTTCTCAGTCATTAAATAAAAATACATGCAAACTTTTAAGATGTGATCATGGATTATTGATTATAAATCTGGTTGAAGATTTTAAAGGAAAAGTTAGCCCAGGTAATAACATTACATTTGTGTATTACCTTTTATTCAACTTGTCATTCCATTATTCTACTTCACAGGAAGACTACAGTGTTAATTAACATTGGTTAAGGCGATGTTAACATTTTTCTACTGTAACACTGGTTAAGGTGATGTTAACATTATTCTACTGTAACACTGGTTAAGGTGATGTTAACATTATTCTACTGTAACACTGGTTAAGGTGATGTTAACATTATTCTACTGTAACACTGGTTAAGGTGATGTTAACATTATTCTACTGTAACACTGGTTAAGGTGATGTTAACATTATTCTACTGTAACACTGGTTAAGGTGATGTTAACATTATTCTACTTCACAGGAAGGATGCAGTGTTCATTAATGTTGGTCGAGGAGATGTTATCAGTGAGGAGGACCTTGTAAAAGCTCTTGATTCAGGATGGATATCTGCTGCAATATTAGATGTGTTTTCAAAGGAACCATTACCAAAAGAGAGTCTTCTTTGGCAACATCCAAAGGTTAGTTATCACCATTACCCTTTTCTGCCCTTTTCCTCTCTGGATGGTTCTTCCTAGTTGGACACCTCTCCTCCCTTAATGGCCACCTCTTTTCCTTTGATGGCCACCTCTCCTCCCTTGATGGCCACCTCTCCTCCCTGGATGGCCACCTCTCCTCCCTTGATGACCACCTCTCCTCCCTGGATGGCCACCTCACCTTCCTGGATGACCACTTTTCCTCCCTTGAAGGCAACTTTTCCTCACAGTGGCTGGCAACACAGTGTGTGAGGGCAGAAGAGGCCATCCTGTCTCAACTTGTGGGAAGGTCAGTTTTGGTCACCTACTAAGGAGATACACTCCCTCCATATTTTAAAAGAATGTTCCCAGTAAAAGGTCAGCCCAGCAGGAAGATGGTCGTGTCCATCACACATTGTGCCTCAGATAGTTTTTTCCTTCAGTTGTACATGGTAGAAGCAGGTATTTTAATACCTTTATTTTAGTTGTTGATAATTATAGCAAAAATAAATTTTTGATAAAAAGTAGATAGATTGTTTTCAATTAAGTATCATTCATCCAAATTTAGCAATTAATATTTGTTTGGTAAACCCTATATGAAAATTTGATATCCAGTCATGTTTATTTTTAAGCATGTTAATTAGTTTATTTGTGTTGATCTGTTTTATTGATAATGTCATTCCTTGCAGGTGATGGTGACTCCACATACGTCTTGTCCAAGTCGTGCTGAGGATGTTAGTAGTGCATTTGTTGACAACTTCACACGCTACACTCAAGGTCTTCCTGTCTTGAATATCATTGATTGGAACACAGGCTATTAACTGATTGTTATACAAGTTTCAAATGTTGAATGAATTAATGTTTCATGTTATATAAAGGGTGTAGCATAGGTCATGCATGCACCATAGGAAAATTGATGTTCATCTCTTCTTTGTTCCTCAGGCAAATGAAGCTTAATACTTGTATATCTATGAAAAATAGGTGAGTGAGGACCAATCAAATGGTTACTGATGTCTCAGGACCTCATACCTCTTGATTTTTTCCTCTGGGACCACTTAGATGCTTCTTGCACGATTTTGGTAGACTACACATTTCATGTGACCCCAGAGGAAGAAATCAGTGGTCCTCTCTTGACCAATCTTAGTTGATTTGTTACGATTCCTTCACCGGAGGAGGAAAAAAAAAGAAAATATGAAGATTAATTTTCTATTGTCTGTAACCTATGACACCCTGTATAGCAGTGGTCCCCAACCTGCAGTGCCCCCAAAACCATATTATGGAGCCCACAAGGGTTTATTAGAAAAGTATGAATTATTTGTGATTGTTTGTAAAAGTGATATTAATGAAAATATTTAATAACTTGATACAATTGTAATGTACAGGACGTGTGTATTTACCCCAGACTGGGCCCAGAGAGAGAGCCAGCCTTCTCACTGGGGTAAATACGCATGTCCTGTCCAAGATTAAATGTAAAAAGTACTTACCGGTAACTGGTAACAGTAAGACGTTAAAACAGCAAATAACTGTACAGTATATATGTAGATCCAAATTTTTGGCACCCTCCACTATATTTACAATGATAAATATGGCTCAGAGCCTACAAAAGGTTGGGGACCACTGCTGTACAGTATGGTGTGTGACCTATGACACCCAGTATAGTATGGTGTGTCACCTATGACACCCGGTACAGTATGGTGCGTGACCTATGACACCCGGTATAGTATAGTGTGTGACCTATGACACCCTGTACAGTATGGTGTGTGACCTATGACACCCTCTACAGTATGGTGTGTGACCTATGACACCCTGTACAGTATGGTGTGTGACCTATGACACCCGGTATAGTATGGTGTGTGACCTATGACACCCGGTATAGTATGGTGTGTGACCTATGACACCCGGTATTGTATGGTGTGTCACCTATGACACCCTGTACAGTATAGTGTATGATCTAACATCCTGTAGAGTATGGTGTATGATCTAACATCCTGTAGAGTATGGTATATGGTCTAACATCCTGTACAGTATGGTGTATGGTCTAACATCCTGTATAGTATGGTGTATGATCTAACATCCTGTAGAGTATGGTGTATGATCTAACATCCTGTAGAGTATGGTGTATGATCTAACATCCTGTACAGTATGGTGTATGATCTAACATCCTGTACAGTATGGTGTATGATCTAACATCCTGTACAGTATGGTGTATGATCTAACATCCTGTACAGTATGGTGTATGACCTAACATCCTGTACAGTATGGTGTATGATCTAACATCCTGTATAGTATGGTGTATGATCTAACATCCTGTAGAGTATGGTGTATGATCTAACATCCTGTAGAGTATGGTGTATGATCTAACATCCTGTACAGTATGGTGTATGATCTAACATCCTGTACAGTATGGTGTATGATCTAACATCCTGTACAGTATGGTGTATGACCTAACATCCTGTACAGTTTGGTGTATGATCTAACATCCTGTACAGTATGGTGTATGATCTAACATCCTGTACAGTATGGTGTATGACCTAACATCCTGTACAGTATGGTGTATGAACAACTATATTTCTGAAGGTTTGTAATGGTTCTTTTGTAAAGAATAAAATTTTACAGAATTACAGTATTGAACTTCCTCAATTTACATTGACTAAAATAAGTGGAAGAATTGGCTTCACCCTTGTATTATTACTTTATAACTTTGTTAAGTTGAAATGTATTGGAGTGCTGTGTCTTCATGTTATTGACTCTTAATATTCTCACACACAACACTACACTACACTAAAGTATCTTCCTGTTTTCATCCACACAACACTGTACATGGGAACAAGTAGACAGACTTTTCTCCACCAGCATATTCACTCATCCATGTAACCTCATACTAGTGGTGACACATAACATACTAGTGGTGACTCACATCATCATACTAGTGATGACTCACATCATCATACTAGTGGTGATAAACACAAACATCATACTAGTAGTGATGCACACATAACATACTAGTGGTGACACACACAACATCATACTAGTAATGAGGCACCAGCTCTACCTCCCAGCCAGGAGTAGGCGAGCGTCGTATAAACGATGACATTTCTAACCACACCCTGCAAAATACAGTGTACTTAGCAAATGCTGCAGCTTCTGAGAATGGAAGGGGGCCGGAGTTACCTAGAAAAAACTCTGGCTTGAATGGCATGTACAGTAATACTGACACATTCTTTGATAAGAGAGAGGAGTTAGAAACACTGCTGAAGGTACACCAACCCGATATAGCAGGAGTTGTAGAACTGTTGAACAAGAATAGGAGAATCGACCCAGAGGAATGCGAGTTCAGTATTGACGGCTATGACTCGTATACAAACTTTCTCAAGGAACTTGCAAGAGGGGTGTGGTTATTTATGCTAGGCAAGACCTTAGAGCCAGCCAGGCGAAGGTACAGGAAGAGAACGTTTTTGAAGAATCCAATTGGTGTAAAATTAAATTAAAGGGAGGAGACTTATTGTCGGGTGTATCTACAGATCCCCAAACTCTTAGCTTACTAAATCAAAGGAACTTAAGAGCCTTAATAGACAATGCAGCGATGCTCAACCCTAGCTGCCATCTTATCATGGGGGACTTTTAACTATGGAGACATCGACTGGAGAAACGAGTTCACACCAAATGACTTGAATAACCCTGGTACTTTTTGTAGAAACTCTGAGAGATAATTTTCTGTTCCAACATGTTAAAGACCCGAGGGGAGCAAACACCCAAGCCACTGGACCTCATCATAACAAACGAGGAGGGTATGGCGGCCAAACTGGAACATCTAGCCCCAGTTGGCACCAGCCACCTTGTAATGTTGTCATTCAGATTTAACTGTTAACTTGTTCATGATGAAGGTGCAAATATTACAAGGGCAGTTACGACTGGATGAGGAAGGAGATGAGGGATATCCAGTGGCCTGACTCACTAAGGCATAGGAATGCAGGCACTATGCTGAATATCATAGCCAGTAAAGTGAACCATTTGATCGATAAATATATACCTAAAACCAACCCTAGTGCCTCTAGGAATACGAGTGGACCCCTACACATTAACCATGCGGCGGTCGACAAAGTTAAGAAGAAAACCCAGAAATTCAAGGCTTGGGTTAGGTCAAATGATGATCAGGACAGGAGGATGTATGCAAAAACCAAGCAAAGTCAAGAGTGTAGAAGGGCTTGTGGGCTATGGGATGTTTGTGTTCACACTCAGGATGGGATGGAGAAAGGAAACTCACAATGTGCTCTCTGTATACATGTTGTATTGGATGTACAATGCAGCTTGGTGCTGGGAAGGCAGCATGGTTACAAGCGTGATGTAGAGAGAGCTGGTTGGTGAGGGTGCTCAGAGGAGGACCAGCTTGTGGGTCGCCATGCTTGCTGGCGGGAGCAAGGACCACCAGGCAGGTGGAGGAGGAGGTGGTATTGCTGGCTGGTTGGTGGAGGTAGAAAGAGAGCGATCACCACGAGGTCAGGTCTTAAATAGTGGGGGTTGGGGTGGCTTAGTAGTTGATCCCTGCTCCGTGATGTACAGTATGGCGGCGCTGGTTGACCACGAGGCATACACTGGGGAATTGGTGGGGTCGGCTACACAGCGACAAACAGCGTTTGTAGGGGAGAAATCCACTACAATAACTCCCCCTTCCCTCCAGGCGGTGTAGGAGACTTGTTGTCTGCAGGGTTGCTTAGCACATGTGAGGCAGAACGGGCGGTGCATGCCTCATGTGAGACAACGGTGATGGCGTGGATGAGCCGGTCGCTGGACACAACTGTCTAGATACACAATATCTGTGGGAGTAAAGAGGGAGAAAAAGGGTGTGTGGAGGCGATGAATTTTGTTCTTCCCTCACGGCAGGTACAGAGTCGTCAGATGCGCCTGTTGGGGTGTGTGGGCCTGGGTCAGGAGCAAGGGCTGCGTCAGCAGAAGCTGATGAGGGCTCGTGACAGCAGCTGGGTCCACGACAGTAGCAGGGAGTACCTGAGGGAGAAAAGAGGGGTGTGTGGGTCCTCACTCAGAAGCAGGGGCCGCGTCAGGAGAAGCGGCAGGGGGTACTGCTGGGTTGGGGCGGCGTCTGAGGCAGGACGGGTGTGTTGGGGTCGGTAGGACTTGGTGCTTGGGGCAGGAAGAGGAACGGCTGTCTGCTTAGAGTCGCAGAGCTGCTCTAGGGTGTCTAACCTGCGGTGTAGAGACAGTAGCTGTAGAGCCGATGAGAGCTGCCTCTGGGTGGATAAGCCAGTCTTCCATGTTGCTTGAAGACTGGGAGCGTGATCTGTTTCTCCTCCATCCTGTGTGAGTGCGAATCTCCGGGAGTCACCATTTGTGGGCTATGGGATGTTTGTGTTCACACTCAGGATGGGATGGAGAAAGGAAACTCACGATGTGCTCTCTATATGCATGTTGTATTGGATGTACAATGCAGCTTGGTGCTGGGAAGGCAGCATGGTTACAAGCTTGATGTAGAGAGAGCTGGTTGGTGAGGGTGCTCAGAGGAGGACCAGCTTGTGGGTCGCCATGCTTGCCGGCGGGAGCGAGGACCACCAGGCAGGTGGAGGAGGAGGAGGTGTTGCTGGCTGGTTGGTGGAGGTAGAAAGAGAGATCACCACGAAGTCAGGTCTTAAATAGCGGGGGTTGGCGTGGCTTAGTAGTTGACCCCCACTCCGTGATGCACAGTATGGTGGCGCTGGTTGACCTCGACAACGAGGCATACACTGGGGAATTGGTGGGGTCGGCTACACAGCGACAAACAGCGTTTGTAGGGGAGAAATCCACTACAGGCTAAAAAGGAGTTCCAGGGGCTGGTTGCAAGCTAGGTCAAGTCAAACTCAAAGGCGTTTTACCGCTTTGCAAAGTCAAAATTAAAAATGCGAGTAGGAGTATTGGATCTGAGGCTTGAAGATAGTACAGTAGTTATGCAGATTCTGACCAGGACAAAGCTGAGGCATTGAACAGCTTCTATTCCTCGGTGTACACAAATTAGGATGCGATTAACCGACCTGCGTTTACAAGAGAGGATGCCATTAGACTACCTGCGTTTGAGGACAGACTGTTTGACACAGCACTGACCCACATTGTGTTTACAGAAGATGTTACAAGAAATAAACTCAAAGCTATAGGTTCATAAGAGTCCTGGCTCTGACATGGTGCATCCCAGAGTACTAAGAGAGTTGTGCAACAAGCTCGCTGAGCTCGTGACGATCCTGTTCTGTAAATGCCTGGATGAACAAAAGATCCCCAGTGATTGGAAAATGGCTTATGAGAGTCCTATCTTCAAGAAGGGCGATCGTCACTCCACGAACAACTATAGACTGGTGAGCCTGAACCAGCATAGTATGTAAAGTATTATCAGAGATACCACGATGGAACATCTACTACGAAACAACCTTGTAAAGGCTTGCCAACATGGTTTTATGCCAGGGCGCTCCTGTTTAACACAATTACTCAAGGTACTGGATATTTGGACCCATATTCTGGAACAGGGTGTTAATATCGACAATATACACCTAGATTTTGCTAAGGCCTTCAACAGTGTACCCATGAAAGGCTGAAAATTAAACTGGAAGGGTACGGGATTCGGGGAAATGTCCTGCGTGGATAGAAGACTTTCTACATGACTGCAAGCAGTGTGTGGTGATTAATGGCACAAAATCATCAAGTGTACCCGTCACAAGCGGGGTACCACAGGGCAGTGTATTGAACCCGCTGTTGTTTGTTCGCTTCATAAATAACATGCCTGATGCTGTACATTCCTCCATACAAATGTTTGCAGATGACGCCAATTTATTTCAGGAAATTAAGAACCAAGCAGACTGTGAAGAGCTGCAGAAGGATCTCTGTGAGCTGCAAGAATGGTTGAAGAAATGGCTGCTAAGATTCAGTGTCACGAATTTTAAGAACATGCGCCTAGATTTTTCTCCTTATCGCCAGTATCCAGGAAAGTGTTATTAACAGAATAATTGTGATTAATATTGTACACCTGATATAAAAAAGATTTTGTTAGCCTTAATTTAGTTATTTCTTTCGAAATATAAAATTAGTTCATTGCAATACGACTGGTGAATAACAGTATGCCTCATGGGTCTTTATCAAAAACCTTCCTTCGTGGTGTCATATTGCTTCGCACAAGAATTGTAAAGATAGATTTTTTACCGAGTGTACCTGTAGTATAATTTTGTAGGGTCTTCCATTTTGTTATGTTAAAGAGCATTTGCCAGTCTTTAGTACATTTGAACATCTTTCAAGTCTTTCTGCATTGTTGTGACATCAGTCATGACTTGCTCCCTTCCCAAATATCTTTGTCGTCTGCAAACTTGATAATGTGGCTTGATATGTTTTCATCATTGTCATTTATGTAGATCACAAACAGGGTGGGTCCAAGTAGAGCCTTATGGTACTCTAATGAGAATCTTTTTCCATTCAGGTTGTACTCCATTTATTACTACTCTCTCTTTCCTGTCTTCTACCCAGTTGTTAATCCACTTCAAAATCTTGCCTGTGATGCCATGTGCTTGTATCTTAAAGGCTAGTCGTACGTGTGGGACTATCAAACACTTTGGAGAAATCCATGTACGACACATCCACTGGTGAGTCTTGGTCTAT